TTGGTGCTTCAAGCCATCCCTATATCCCCCTTTCATTTTGAAGAAATGATTTTTCCACTTGTATATGCACGCTGGTTCCAAAACCGGCAAGGAATAAAGGTATTAGCTACAGCTGAACGCTGGCTGTGATTGCTACCTGCTCAAGATTTCCGCCGACGGCGACGTCATGAAGATCGGTAGGGAAATCCTTGTAGGTTGTTGCATCGTAGTTAGTAACTGTTGGAGCCACTGCTATTGCTACCACTTCCGTTGGAACTGCTCGTCCCTGGATATCGTTGCGTAATAATAGTGAGAGGGTAAGTTCGAAATAGGTAGCGGTAGGAGCTCACGGGGACGTATGCTTGCTTCGTTTCCTTTTCTTTTTCTTTCGAGGGCTGGGGATCGCCGTTCCCTTCGCTGTCAGTCGACATACCCTCGCCGGACACGCTCCACACCACACCTTGTTTGTTTGCGCATGCGCCGAATGCACCGCGGACGCTACGCTTGATGTCTAACATCTGCAGCTACCAGAGTGGAGCAGGGAATATCTAGGAAAAAAATCGCAGTTGGTTTGTGTTGCGTCGAGAACCATAGCTAGCTCTGTAGTTCCGAACGCCGAACGCATCCTCTACGGAACGCACACACGTTAGTGATGATATAAGTATACCAAGGGCCCAGCTACGAGGGCATTCACAGTCATGTGCGCAAGCACTGCTGATGAGACACTGACACCTTATGAATCAACTAGCTAGGCTAGTATGAGGTAATTACTGCTAAATATAATGTCACCCCATACTATGCTTTTTAGCCTGTGGTGTTGCTTATAGGGCGTGCATTTAGACGAGCAGGTCGAGGCATTGAAACGTAGCGATTCTTGTCTCAATAGACATTATGCAAGATTCAAAGAGCTCTTCTTCCGCTGAGTACCGGTCGAAGCCGATTGAGGCCACCGACGCAAGGAACCGCTCGCCCGACCCGACAGACAGACGGTGGCAATTGGTGACCGGCAGTTTGGTTAACCTTACGCAACAGGAGCATTCTTCTCCCCGCAAAAGGCCCGGATGCGCGTCCCTCTCACCTAGATTTCGTCGTCGTCGCCAAGAACACGGAGGCGACCGGCAATCAGGTGCCTTCGACCTAATGGTGCGGCCAGTTTATGACAAGGCGCCAGAAGACGTGAAGTTGGAAGACACTGACATGTTTGACAACCCGGCGGGGTTTAGTACGCCACACGCTGCTACGAGCGCCGCGCATTGGGGGTCGCTCATGTCCGGTGCAACTCCACGCAGTAAGCGAGGTAAGTTGAGATTTAGCCCTAACCTGTAGCTAATGGGTCAAGAGCGACTTTCCTACAAGAAATTGATGACTTCAATCTACTTCAGCTCTTACATAGCTACTTTGCTATATACCAAAATAATAGAGAAGTGTATATATGATCGTAGTTTAATACATCTGACCATAACAGAACAGATAAATGAAGCAGATTCTGCTCAGAGTCGAGGGTCTATTAGCTCAAGCATCTCTCTGGTCCAACCACCTCCCCAGAGCACAGCACGTGAAATCTGCAGCATTGGAGGCAGTGTGTCCCTCAGTCAACTGAGGAGTCGTCGTCAAACATCTGTACCACTGGGGACGATGACAATTAACCAGGGTAAAATCGAACTCAAAGTAACAGTTAAGTGCTTGTCATCCTCTCCTGACGTGATGCTCAAACTCACCCCAAAGATCCCTCGTCGTTGCCGCAACAGGGAGCTCCTCACGATGCCTCTCAAAGCCATGATTACGGTGTCTGAGACATCGAGTGAACCGGAAGACGAGTTTCAACCACGGAAGACGACAAGAGACTTCACATTGGAAGATCATAGTCTGCAGTGGACTCTGTTTTGCGAAGCGGATTGGGCGAAGCCAAACAACGGCGTGGAAAAGATTTACGTTTCCATTAGAGTGACTCACGAGCACCTGACTATGCGACATGATGCAGACTCAGGTTTTGTCACAATAGGTAAGTTGCCTACAGAGCACCCCCCAATTATACTCTCAATGCATCTATGGAACAATTAAATACTACCTACTACCGTAATTCTGCAGATCCACCTCCGTGAACTGCAAAATAATCCAGAAAAGAAAGAATGTCAAGCCGTCTCGGTGGTGTATATATAATACCTAGGTGTAGCCAAAATGTATTCCACATGCATGTGTAACTGAAGAAAAAATTGACTGTGTATATATACTATTTGCTATACCCTCATCACTCTAAATGTATGTATTGATAAGAACAGCAATGTGATAATGGAGTGTATAAGATCACCATAGAACATAGTGGGAGTTAGAAGAGTAAACACAGTGAAAGTTGCACTACATGAAATCATCTTCGACTGAGCGGTAGTCAACATCTTCTGCGAACTGAAAGTGGGACCGATCGTTAATTAAACAGTGCACCAGAGAGAGAACACAGTAAAATAGCTACATATATACCGCGTTTGTTTTCATCATGTCTTCCTGCATAATTGCACTGTAACTCCTGCAGAAAGATTCATCTTCTATATAGCTGGATGAAATAGTCAAACACTTACGTACCTCTGCTCTGCTTCTTTCTTTTTTCTTTCAATCTCCTCTTTTTCCTGTTGTCGCTGAGTAGCAGGGTGACAGACACAAGTAGAAGTACATCACAGTCCATAACATCAAAAAATAAGCTACAAATATTCATTAGCTTCATAATTATAGCTAGAAGTACTGTATCTATCTCAGACACTTCATGCAAGGAGATTCATTTCTTGGCAAATCGAGATACTGGATTACAAAACCCACCATTTCCCCATCTCTCTTCCTCCTCTCGGCTCTGTCTTGTCGGTCTCTCTCCTCTCTCTCCTCCTGGAGATTGGGTTTCTTCTCCTCCTTGGTCTTGTTGAGTCTGTTCACAACTTCACTCAGTCTCTTCTCCACTTTCACCGTCAACACCTACACAGTCACACAGAGTCCAACAATCCAGCCAGCAATTTTATTGTAGCCAGATAAGACAAGAAAAAGAACATTCATTGGTAGGTTAGTTGTGCTATACTTGTCATTGCATTGTGTATCATGTGTACTTGTATATATACCAATGGCGATATTTGGGTGTATATAGACAATGGAGGGGAAAGCTGTAGCTCTACCAAGCCACGAAACACCACGGATCACCAAACCTATAAAGTGTACAGTCCTGAATGCAGTGATGTAATTTTTACCTTTTTATCGTCGCGAAAGCCGACTTGACCGACGTCCATTTTCTGGGTTTTCTTGAGGTTTTCAAATTCCGTATACACTACAGTGATATTATTGGTTTTACAACCTGTGGAGAGCGTACAGGGAGGGGGCAAGTTGATAAAAAATCATGGTGTGTGGACATACCCACGATACTGTTGGCTTTGACTAGTTGGGCACAGTCTGCTATCAGGTCTTCCGGAATTTCCTCCATTGACATGTTCTGGAGCGACGCACACAATGCACATACAGCTCCCTCCCTCTCTACTAATGCCCCTCATTTCCCTTCTCTCTTACTCCTCTATCTCTCTCTCTCATCTTATCTCTGACATTTTATATTCACCCACTTTCTCTACCTCGTCACTTCCTCTCTACCTTATTTTAATTCAATCTTCCCCCTCCTCTTTCCTTCCCCCTCTCTTCTCCCTTTCTCCCTCCCTATAAGTGACTAGTATAACCTGTGGTCTTCTGAGGTAGACATGTGCCGAAGACATCTTATCAACGTGGAACCTGTACTAAACAAGAACCTCATGAAAATAAGTAAAACCAACAGAGTTGCATTTGTAAATACGTACCACACGTCTTCTGGAAATCCCCATTTGAGTAGCTCCTCATCTAAAAAGGTACATACAACACACTCTATGATATATTCAACAACCCGTAAAGCATAAACTATTAGAGCTACACACAGACTGATAGAGGTGCACAAAGAGCAAAAAAAGTTGAACAGTCTCACTTTCGTATTTGTCTTCTCCCATGTAGATTAGGGCAGGTGGTGATACCACTGGAAATAAGAGTGATTTTGATGCACATAAAATACTAAACAAGCTCACCATTGCTGAGAAAATACAGGACCATTTCTCGCTGTTTTTTTCAATCGCAACGCTCCACCCCCCACGCACGCACGCCACGCCTCTTGCTCAATGCTCTGCGCTGCTGCCGCAATGCGCTCTGCGTGCGATGGAACTATTATACAGCGGTTGACTTGAAGGTCCGTATGCCTCCTATAGCAGAGACTTCCAGCACGTAACGTGCGTGTTACGTGCAGCTACGTATAAAGATTAACACTCTGTTGTACAGTTCTCACGTCTGAGCCGTATTTTTGCCACTACGTATATAACTTTATTGTTGCTGCTCTGTAAAACACAAACGTAAATGTTAATAATTATGCGGCCATACTGAACTGGGTGTGTGAATAAGCTGCCAAAAGTACGCAAGCTAAACCGCACGCAAGTTGTTGAATTATTAAGAAACACAAAGGGTAGGCTTTTATGTTAATAATAAGCACAGTTATTAATATTTCTCATGTCCATCATTCAAGTAGTAATCATCTAGTCCCGGGGCAGGAGGTCATCCATGTCAGCCAGTACATAGGCAAAGGCGGTCCAGACGGCGCTGCAGAGGTCCATCTGGTGGGGATCCAGAACTGTCATAGTGTCTCCGTCAGAGTGGTGGAAATAGAAATAGTGCTCGTTGTGGTTGGCTATACTCCCAGTTGGAACACCACTGGCTCTCCACCAACCCACATCTGTACCTGTAGGAAAAGAGTTTTAGCCAAATAAAGTAAGCCCCAGAAGTGGGACATTGGTGATCAAAGTGCCAAGGTGTTCCACTAATTTAAACCCTTTGGACACCATGGGTATCTGCTTAAATAAGCAGAAAAATTGAAGTATAAAGTATTAGCGCCTAGTGTCTTATGGACTTATGGAGGCATTGGACACATTAATTTTATGTGTCCAGTGGCTGTTTAAGTGCTAATCAGCAGAATAGATAGCATACCAACTTTTCAACCTTTAGTGAAGTGACTTGGAACCCCTTGCAAACTAGGCTACATTCTCGTACAGATCATAATCATATTGTTAAAATCTCATAACTACCCAACTTAGCATTTACGTAAACTAGAGCAGGGGCAACATATCCCCCTACATACAAAGACCATATTATCTAACATGTAGCTAATTACCTCCACCTCCTGCGTAAATGACAGAAGAATTGAGAAATTCTGGCAACAGCTTTCCAATACCTTCCATCACCTGCATTTTCATCACGACCAGATTACATTCTATACGAGTGGGCAATTATTATATATCACCATAACTATGGAATCCGATGGGAAAGAAGGAAGTGTCTATTTCAGAAGAGTGATTACATTTGAAAAATAGCTGTTCTTATGGAAAGAAAAGGTGGCATGATTAGAGTTGTCCTCAATTAAGTGTTGTCTTTAGACCGTATAATAATACCAGGGGAAAACTGACGGAGTGGGGAATTTTGGGTCTAGTGTCAAAGTCTACTTCTAATCGTAATTGCATACCTTAGTGTGATTTCAAGTGAGGGGCACATGTTAGTCTACTAAATAAACTATTATTAATGACGGATCTCCCTCCATTACCACCAGCTATGCTGCAGTAATAACCATCATGGCAGCGCCGGAGCCAGTAAACTCCATTCCGTAGGGAGTGAAGACCCCCTCGTCACTCTCCAGCAGAACGCTGTAGTTGCCGGCCTCTGTCTTGTGGGCGTCGTAGTACTGCTGACTCCCAACTCCCCCCGCCTCCTCGTCTGTCCACAGCACCAGTCGCAGAGTCCTCTTGGGCTTCAGGCCCAGGGCTCTGAGACCCAGGGAGAGGGACAGAGAAATGAGGATGAATCTTAGCTATATTCATTTGAGCAAAATGAGAAGTAAAGAACGCCAGTGTGAATCTGACTTATGTTCACGCAGCCAAAATGAAAATCACGCATGTTGGCTGTAAGGGGAGAGAGAAATTCAAGGGTGTCAGAAAAAAACCTAAGGAATATTTTCGTACTCACATCGCTTTGAAAACTGTTGCATGCATTTTAGTAGGCATTTTAGGCAAGGAATACACATTCACACATGACATAATATTATGTTTCCCCACCATGTCACGAATCTAAACCATACGTACGTACTTTCTCTTTGGAGGGATTCACCTGACCGTGGTGAGGGCCTGCCAGGAGATGAAGACACCTCCCCCATCATCCATGGCTCCCTGACCAACGTCCCAACTGTCGATGTGCCCACTCACAACCACCACCTGGTGCACATTATAATAGTCACTCTGTGACTAACTTGGTTTTAACACAAGATTGTTCCACCTGTTCGGGGTAGACGGAGCCAGTAATCTCTGCGACGGTGTTCCTCGACCGCGTCATATTCAGGTTCTCTGCTCCCATTATCAGCTGAATCCTCAATCTAGTACCCCTCTGCTCCATCCTGGGGACAATTCGACCGTGATAATTAGAACAAATGTATATATCAACAATGAGGTTTCAGCAAGGCAAAGGCAAAGCTACACTCTACCAGTTGAGCTGCCCTGGAACGTGGCTCGGAAGTTAGGGGCTCAAATCTACAACTCAATGCAAGGGGTAACCCTAAAAAACTACATTCACATTTTTAGGTAAGTGAACTAGAGAGAGTTGAGAATTACCTGTACAGCATCTCGGCGTCTTCGATGGTGATACATGCAGTGGGGATCTTTGGAAGACTCTCATTGTAGAACTGTATGCCAGTATGGACACTGAGAGAGAGAGAGAGAGAGAGAGAGAGAGAGAGAGAGAGGGAGGAGAGAGAGAGAGAGAGAGAGAGAGGAGGGGAGGGGGGCATATAAAGAGAAGGAGGTATATATATATATAGTATAATGTGAAACAAAAAGTGTAAAATGTGTGGTTTGTTACCTGTGGATGGAGAAAGGAGCAACGCTTCTAATGAGTGTGGCCACTGCTCCAAACTCTGCGGCTCGCGAGGCACTCGCCACACGATAAATTGCTGATTTGGGGTAACCCTGTGGAGATGGGGAATTAAAGAGACTGTATACCGTATAACTGGCTGCCTTTTTTGGCGTTGTATGTACCTCATAGTCTTGATTGAAGACCACTATTTTCCCTGTCACCTCGTCCATTCGTGTCACAAGCTCGTCAAACGACCTCACCACAATAGCGTAGGCCAGTATCCCCTCCTCCGGGGTACCCACCGACGACCCCAGGGAGCTGATAGCGATGACGTAATCCCTCGGTTCGACCAATCGGGCGCTCTCCTGGTTTCGCAACCAGCGTGTCACGTTGACGTCCTCTCCGTGAACGTTGTCCAGTCCGTCTTTGCGGAGGTACTCTAACATGTAGTCGATGGAGTTCTCCAGGTTCTGTGTCCCTGCAATTACACTGGCTTATTACCATTTGGCATAGTTACCCACTACAGCATTTAGCTACCTTTGCTGCCAAATTTACAGGTTTCTCTTTCTACGTGTACACCTGTGAGTATATAAACTAGACCCTTCTTTTCACTAACATACATTCTCTTCACTTTTACTATTGCCTACTGCCACAGTGAGTAACATTAGAACATTCAACAGTGGAGCAATAACGATAGATTTTGTAAAGCAGAAGGGGCTTGACTACTGTATGTATATACCTGAGAGCCTGCTGCCAAATGCGTCGGTAAACGTGGCCAGGCGGTCGTACGACTGATTCTGCCCCGGACCGTTGACTGCATAGTCGACTATTTGCTCCACAACGTCCTGGTAGCCAGCCAGCTCCCTGGCAATCTTGTCAGGGAGGAATTTGTCGTGGGTAGAAGAGGGAGAAGCTTCGGCGAGGGCGGTCAGGGAGAGAGGGACGAGGAGGAGGAGGAGGGACGGAAACAGACCAGCCATTCTATGATCGCGGCGGTTGTGCGGAAGGTGGAACTTCACTGTCACTAGCTCTACACACAACCAAACCAACAGACCAAGACCAGCCCTTCCTCAGGTGAATGATGCGCAAGCGTGGCCACGACTTTTTCTATACGTGGGAGTCGAGTGTGTACGTAACGAGCCCCTCCCCCATCTCATCGTGTCAAGTCAATTATTGTGCGTGATGTAACGTCCGGAACATGCAACCGTTTCCGGACCCGGTGAGTGTAGGGCCCTGTCGTCTGAGTGGTATTCAGTGCAGCGAAGACTCAGATCAGGAACAGACAGAGAGAGATGGCGGCGTTTCAAGGGCAGGTCCTGCTGTTCACCATCACTGGGTGTCCGTTCTGCTCGAGGTCCAGGAAAGTGCTAGCCGATCTACAGGTAGGTGTGAATGGGGGGGGTGTTGTAGGTAGCTAGACGGCTAGCTGTAGCTGGGTGCTGTGTGGTTTATGGACGCCTTGTCACACTGACTACGGTCAATTTGTCTCCTCCCTCCTATATCTACCTCGTTTCTCTGGCTCCTCTCTTCCTGTTCCTTTTCCTCACTCCATCTCTTCTCCTTCTTTACCTCTGTTCCCACTTGACTCTCCTGAAAAGAGCCTGCAAGGACACTGCTGTTGTAAATTTCCGTCTTGTAAAGATCTATATTACCACCAACAATCAGGACACACTATAACTACGTACAGATGTCAATAGGTTCCATGGAATGAGCTCAACTTGTAAAAATGTCGGCCTCTCTCCCTCCTTCTCCCTCCTTCTCCCTCCTTCTCCTCCTCCGCAGGTTCCGTTTGTGGAGGTAAACCTGGACCACTATCCCGACAGGCGCTATGAGATGCAGGAGAAAACGGGGCGAAGGACGGTCCCGCAGATCTTCTTCAACAGCAAACACATCGGAGGTTTTGATGACCTGAAGAAACTGGTGAGAACTCCTGTGATAGACGTTAATTAAAACTGATGTCGCACTGCCCCATTAAAAACAAAGACAAAAATGGATTCGATGTGGCAGCACAGCACAATGTGACGGGGCAATACTTTGTATTATGAACCAAGCCTTTATAAGACTCAGTCGAACGCCTGGTGTGTATTCAAAGTTTAATAAACCTCTCAAAGTCAAAAGTGTTAGAAGGTATATATGTCTTTTGCATGGTTGGCAGTGAGCTCAACTTACACTTGATGGTCGAATGGTCTTAGTGGGCTATGTGGACGATATTAACAAATCCCCTTTTGTTAGACGGGGGGTTTACGTCTCTCCCAATCGACCCGTAAGATAAACTTGTGAACTCGGCGATGGTCGGCACAGTGGGGCAATAGTGATGATGTACAAACAACCTTTCTCTTTTGATGGTAACTTCTTGTGCTGGTTTTACCACTGCTGACAATGTCTACGCTGTGATTTTATTCCCTGGGCAAGCACAGGACATGTATAAAAAGTGTCTCCCAATTGTTGACACTGACGTAGGTAGATGTTAACATACTGTGTGTGCGGGCAAATCTCTGTAAAGATTGCTGTGAATAATCAGTGAATCAAAGAAAGTGCAAAAGAAAAAAGTAAAATCGTGGCGCTGGCAGGATTAGAACCTGGGACCTTTGTTTGACAAACATTGCCTTTTATGGATCATTCACGTTGGCACAATTGATATTTGCTTTATTTTTACATGACCATATTTCCTGTGTGTAATACGCTGAAATCCTGCTACTTTTGTGTTAGAATTTGGTGATAAAAGTGTGTTACAATAAAAATGGCTCAATTCAGTCATCTTACAGTACTACAAACTGACCTACATCTCTCAGTGAATCAAAGAAACTGCCACTGCAAGGAAATGCATGCATATAGTACTACAAACTGACCTACATCTCTCAGTGAATCAAAGAAACTGCCACTGCAAGGAAATGCATATAGTACTACAAACTGACCTACATTTCTCATGTGTTTCGACACACGCTGCCATAAGTATAGCTTCTGTGTACACAAAACCACTAAAGATCTATAGTATAACATGCGCCTCCAATCACAACACCCACTATGTATGTATGGTTTATACATACTAGTCCTCAATGGTGGATCCAAAACGGTTTGGATGAGTCCCCCTCAACTGCTCCACTGTGGCGATAATGTAGCCCTGACAGGTGGCGTTAGGTTAATGTCAATATTGTCCATAGAGTGAGCTTAAGTTGTGCGGTAAATGGAGTGACAGTAAGCAGTTCTCTGTGTCTTATATATAGTGTGTGGGCAGGTGCTATAATACTAGGTACTCCTACACAATGTAAATTCCTCGGAAATTATGCACATTACAGCCAGCTGGTTTTCCTCAATACTTCCTCTTCTTACCATAATCATGTTAGTACTTCCGTCTAACAGTAGCTCATTTAACCACCCAATACTGTACAGCGTCTAAATGTCATGTTATTATAGTGTGATACTAAACAGCTGTGTTTTTGTGTCAATAACTAGGCGGTGTTGAAAGGCAAAGGCAAGAACAACTCTTTACATGTGTAGAAAAACCATGTGATGCCATGTAAATGTATTTGTCTCCAAACTTCATCCACGACTGTTTCTTTCTTGTTCCTCACTCTCTTGCTCTATCCCCTCCTCCCTCCCTCCCTCCCTCCTCCCTTCCTCCTCCCTTCCTCCCTCCTCCCTCCCTCCCTTCCCTCCCTCCCTCCTCCCTTCCTCCTCCCTTCCTCCCTCCTCCCTTCCTCCCTTCCCTCCCTCCTCCCTCCTCCCTTCCTCCCTCCTCCCTCTCCTCCCTCCTTCCTCCCCCTTCTCCCTCCTCCCTCCCTCCCTTCCCTCTCCCTCCTCCCTCCTCCCTCCTCCCCTCCCTCCCTCCCCCTCCCTCCCTCCCTCTCTCTCTCCCAGTATGACAGTGGGAGTCTGGAAGATGAACTGAAGGTCGTGGCGGAGACAGAAGTCCCATCAGATGCCCCCAGGCTCCACCTGCCCAGGACACCTCTGAGACTGACTCTGGAGACGAGCTGCTTCCCAGTCAGAGAGCCAAACTGGCTGGAGGTAAGGAGCGAGTTCTTTGATTCATCGTGTTTTTCACGCGTATTCAGAATCACGCAAATCATTACGGTATGTGTGTCATAGCTAGTGCCTAATATGATTACAGAAGAATTTCACATTCCCACAACTAAGAGGATCGCTTCGGTCGACTATAAATAGTCAAATCTCGCCCTGTAAAATCATTTTTAAAAGTTGCACCAATATTGGTGGGAGTGCGAAAAAGTTTTATATTTTATTTTCAGTAACAAAGCTCTCAGACCTCAAAATTTGCAAATTGCGAAGGTCTCTACAACTCCTCTATTACAACTACATATACATACACTTAGTTAGTACCTCTAAACGGGACTAGTGATGGACCTACATCGTGACCCGTACATTTGAAGACTCACTGTGCATGTTGGCAGCCGCAGGTAGTGAAGACTGCCTGGACTGCACGCCGGACGAGCTGGCTTCCCTGGTGAGAGAGATACAGGACAGCTCCCTCGTCAGGACCCACACGTACCACTTGAAGGGCTACAAGAACAGTTTCGTTGCCCGCGACCTCGTCACGTGGCTTGTGGAGCAGAAGAAACTCCCCTGTGAGCTGTTCCGGGTGTACTCCTTTCACCTCTCTCTTCTTCCTCTTTCTCCATTAACTGTTTAAATAACATTTAGCAAACTTGGGCCTTACCTGGGGAGCTACATACTCACTGCAAATTGGGGGGGGGCACATGCTGGCAAAACTTACAAACTTACATCCAACTCTTCCTCTCTTCAGCCCGCGAGGAGGCAGTAAAACAGGGACTGGAGCTTCAGGCCAAACACTTCATCCACCACGTGACCTTTGACCACGAGTTCAAAGACGAGTGGTTGTTTTTCCGTCTCCTCGGCGACGGCCACCTCAAGGCGCTCAACGCCAAGTTGTCCTATGCCTGCATCCCTCGCCCAGGTTTCGTTTCATCTCTCTCTCTCATCCCTTCCTTTTTTACTTTTTTCGCCCAAAACATTTATTTCCATCTCGTCTCTAAGAAAACTCCGTACATACATGCACATAAAAATAGTAGTTGTGAATTTTGCGGTTTGAGAGCCATACATACATCACTCTCTCTCTCTCTCTGTCTCTCTCTCCTCTCTCTCTCTCTCTCTCTCTCCTCTCTCTCTCTCTCTCTCTCTCTCTCTCTGTCGAATCTGCATTTCATAAACACATATCTCTCGCGCACACAGCTACGGAGGTGGCGGAGGACCTGAGGAGGTACATCTTGGAGATACATGCAGACTTCCTCTCTGAGGATGGATATGTGAGTCGCTTTGCCGCTCATCCATTTAGTACAACATCGGGATAATCCTCTAATCTGGGCACCTGATGTAGTATAGACCGAATAAAGTGTTCATTTTGAGTGAGGTGTCCTTATCCTGGTGTGAAAGAACCGAAAGTGAAGACGTTGTTTTGAAAAGAGTGGTGTCCTTTGCGGGTGGGGACTTTCAGCTTTTGAAGACCAAGATTTTGACAATCATCTATGAATTTGAAATCGATTACACTCCAGCCAGCGAGGCTATTAGTGTAGAATTTCTTCCCTCCCCTAATTCAACCTCCCTCTTATCCCTACCTGTTTACTGCCTCCTTCCTCTCTTCCTCAAATCTCTTTCCTTACGTCATGTATACAGTATATCTCCTCCCCTCATTCCTCAAATCGATTCATTACATGAGGAGCCTAGGCTCCAAACCACGAATGTCTGGGCATGGTCAGCAACACATACCAGTGGCAAAGCCTTGTGGGGATGAATCTCATTAGTTCAGAACCACAAGTGCTGCGCTCCTGGTAGCCTTTATAAATTCGTGACCGCCAGAGAGAGAAGTTGCGGTATGCTCTGCTCAACAAGCCAGAAACAGCTGTCCAGAGCTCCACATCTTTTTTCTCTTGGCATCACATGGTTTTTTCTACATTCGTGTATATACCTCCTCCCCTCATCATTAATGTATATACCTCCTCCCCTCATCATTAATGTATGTACCTCCTCCCCTCATCATTACATGTATATACCTCCTCCCCTCATCATTACATGTATATACCTCCTCCCCTCATCATTAATGTATATACCTCCTCCCCTCATCATTACATGTATATACCTCCTCCCCTCATCATTACATGTATATACCTCCTCCCCTCATCATTACATGTATATACCTCCTCCCCTCATCATTAATGTATATACCTCCTCCCCTCATCATTACATGTACAATACCTCCTCCCTTCATCCTTCTCCATATACAGTGGGTGGATTACAGAGGAATCAGTAAAAGCCACAAGTTCGAAGCCTACGTGAGAGCCACCGCCGAACTAAAGAGGGTCGACCTACTCAGTCTCTCTGTCAGCGAGAAGATTGCGTTCTTTGTCAACGTTTACAACGCCCTCGTGGTCCACGGGTTCGTAGTTCTCGGCCCACCCACCAATCATCTCAAGAGATATAGAGTGAGAGATTTCTCTTGATTCTCCTCTCATCTTGGTCTTTCTCTATGCACCCCTATTTTTCCTTCTTTCTCTGCGTTCATGTATTGACACATACTGCGTCACTCGGGCGGCCCCATTTTAAGTAGTTTTCAAAAATTTCGGGCTAAACTCATACTACTTCCTCCAACTCTTTCTCTGGAAGTTTTCATTACTCAAAAAAAGCACCAATGAAAAGCACTAAAGTGCAAACCCTCGGCGAAGTAGCTCGCAGAGAGTCTGACGCGGGCTAGCTACAGTTGTAGATAGCACGCGATAGTCGATACACGACACTCGTTGTGACTTCTTGTGCCTTCAAGATAGACAGAGCAAGCGGACCCGGTCCTGTGCTAAATATAAGCGCATGCGCATTAGGCCGCCAGCGATAAAATGGCGACTACAGGCATTTGCCATACAATGCTGGAAGCGCTCTAGCTTAGCAACGGAGCATTTTTAGAGAAAACCGTTCGAAATTTCTGACCTTCATTGCCGGTTAAGTAGGTTGTATCGTTTGTGAGACGAACAGACATTCGAGAAGTGAGATTGAGAGTAACAGACAGACAGACAGACAAACCCAACTACAGTACCCTCGGCGCATGCGCGCCGAGGGTAATAATTATTAGATTTATGTAAAATTATGATTGGTAAGTGAAGCGAACTTATCTATTGTTATAGTCGCCCGAATGCAGGGTTTTTCTATGATTGTATACATAAGTGTCACCCACGTACACTGCACATATAATGGTAGGAGTGACATCTGCCTGAATGTGGGATATTTGTCTATGTGTGTATGTATGCGACCTACATGTACTGTCAATGTCTCTCTCTCCCTTCCTCTCTCCTCGCCCAGTTCTTCAGCAGCACCAGTTACATCGTTAGCGGCCGATGCTACTCCCTCAACGACCTCGAGAACGGAGTCCTTCGTTCCAACAGGAAACCACCGGCCAACTTCAGACGCCCTTTCTCCTCCTCTGACCCAAGGTCAACACAAAACTCTACCTTGCACTATATCTGATACTGAAAGGGGGTGTGGCAGTATAATAAGGGCAAGTTACTTAATCAGTGTTGCACTGTATTATAGGTCTAATACTGAAAGGGGGTGTGGCAGTGCAAATATTAGAAAAAGTTACTGACATTTAACTTAATCAGTGTTGCACTATATTATAGGTCTAATACTGAAAGGGGGTGTGGCAGTATAATATAAATCTTTTATATACTACTTAATCGCATTCTTGCACTGGGCCCTATTGCTTGGCTCTATCTTTAGTAACATTCTAATTTTAGCTGTAATGTATGATTATACCACCCTTCAGTATAAATTATACCTGATTTGTGGCTTTTAATCTTAGAACAACAAATATTCACTGTGCTGCATCTGGGTGCACGAGAGCCAATGGCCACAACTTCTTACTTTTCTCTCTCTCTCTCACTCTCCCTCTTCCTCCCTCCCTCCTCCCTCCCCTCCCTCCCTCCCTCTCAGACTGAAGGTGGCTCTGGAGGAGGTGGATCCGAGGGTACACTTTGCTCTGGTCTGTGGAGCTAAGAGTTGCCCACCAGTCAGGACTTACACTCCGCTGTAAGTGGAACCTATATACTCTTTTAATGGCAACGACAGCTGATTTTAGCAATTTGCCCGACGACTTTATAAATTTTTTTGGGGGACAGGCAAAGCCATCTTATTCCACACAGGTTTAGCGTTTTCAAGAAACTGCTAGGGTAGGGTTGCGGGGAAAAAGTGAAGACATAAGGAAAAAAATTTTGTTATTAAGTATTATTTTGTTACGATGACATACTAATAATTATGTCCCACATGACGTTGTTCTGAAGAACATCAACGAGGAACTAAAAGTGGCGACTGAAGCGTTTTTCGAGAGTGAGAGTCTGACGGTTGACACGTCGCGGAGAGAGGTATGTGTGGTAGACGCGTTTTGTCACTGACAGTAATGGAACACCATGGGTATCTTACTAAAGAATCAGAATTTTGTGTATAAAGTATTAGCGCCTGCTATTATAACCCCCATGTAAATTCTTATGGACTTATGGAAGCTCTGGGCACATTTACGTACGTGTCCGTGGCTGGTTATGTGTTAATCGTAAGCTGTGTGTGTGTCTGGGCGCACGCTGCGTGTGTCTAGACGCACCCTGTGTGTGTGTCTGGGCGCACGCTGCGTGTGTGTCTAGACGCACCCTGTGTGTGTGTCTAGACGCACCCTGTGTGTGTATCTAGACGCACCCTGTGTGTGTGTCTAGACGCACCCTGCGTGTGTGTCTAGACGCACCCTGCGTGTGTGTCTAGACGCACCCTGTGTGTGTGTATTTCAGTACCTGTCAGCGTGCAATTTGCATAATTGCGCACAGCCTAAAATCCTTGGATGTGGCAGTGTGTAATGGCTAAATGTTACTAAAATAGATATTTGATGACATTCTTGCACAGGGCCCTTTGCTATCTTTAGTAACATTTCCAAATTTAGCCCTCATGTGCTGCCGCATTCCCTATCAAGTGATTGGCCTGCAAAAGCACGCAATGTTGGTTTTTTCCTGCAGATATCAGTCTCTCCCATACTGAAGTGGTACCGAGAGGACTTTGGAGGAAACAACCACGAGGTGGGCATAGTGTAGCGATGGGCTGTAGGTTCACGATATTGTGTCGCATCGCAAGGATAGAATCCATTTCTAGCTCTGCAACAAGGCACGACAGGACAATATTATTTACTAACCTAGACAACGACTTATTAATCTTCTACGTTGCATTGCCTGTACCTCGTCGGGAGGATAGAATCCATTTCTGACTTATTCATCTTCTAAGTTGCAACTGTACTAAACTTATTGATCCTTATAGTGTGTCTTCTCTTTCCTCTCCCTCCCCCTCCTCCCTCCCCAGATGCTATGTTGGGTGTGTGGCCACATGGCCCCAGGGGACAAGAGGTCGTCACTCAAAGACCTACTGGACCTCGGCAACTACAGACTAAAATTCCAGAAGTACAACTGGGAAGTCAATACTCACTGAACATCACCTATATTATACTGTATATTACATGTGTGTATAATAAATGTATATACAGGTGTGTGTACCTTAGCCCAATAAGTATTGTTGCCATTGTATTATGTCATCCATGTGTAATCCTTGTTAGTAAAGAGTGGAGCTTCGTCTGTTGCTATGACGATTGTAAAGGTTCAAAGCTTGCAAAAAGCTTATTTGGCAATGTCCACATATGTAGTCTTCTTTCATCTTAGATATGTCACTATTTCAATATTGAGTCTGGTAATGCAGTGTAAAGTGATGACATTATTATCTGTTATCTGTACGTATGACAATGAAAAGCACTAAAGTGCAAACCCTCGTCGAACTGCGCATGCGCGATACTGTTAATTGATGGGCTGGGCTATTCATGTGGTCTCCGATCCCGCTAGTAGCTCGTGGAGAGACGTTACCAAATTTGTTATGGACTATGATTTAAAAGCTATTTTGGCAATGTGCGTCTATTTTTCTTTTAACATCTTATGTCACTATTTCAATATTGAGGCTGGCAAAGTGTTTTGGTAATGGCGATTGTCTGTTCTACTAATGTGACAGTAATTAATTGAAACCAGTAAACCCGTGAAATGTAACACAACACCATTTGCTGTAAAGCTAAACACTCATTTGGAAGTAGTCCAGCTGTTAATGTGGCAAAAATTAAGACTTTTTCTTTGAAGATATAGCAGTGAGTGTTAGCTGTAAGGATGAGACTGGTATATTGCAAAATTATGTGTTCATCCACAGCCTATAAAACCACAGACAGGTTCTAAATCCGAAAGCTGCAACTTCTGTCAACCCAACAACTGAGGCAACTCACTGAGACTACAAGAAAGAGAGAGAGAGAGAAGATGCGTCTGACTCTTCTTGCCTTGGCTCTGGCCACTCTGCTTGTGGCCTCCTCTGCCTATCCTTACCATCTTCCGCCTGGTATGGCTCGTGCTCAGCAACAGAACTACTATCGAGAGCCTTTCACTGCTGGAATGCAGAGTAAGTGACACAGTTGTTTATAATTCAGTTTGAGGAGGGAAGAACTAGACATGCACCAGTAACATGGCTTATATGTATCAGCCATCACACGCATTGCCTTAACACATTCTTAATGGTTGGGTTAATAATAATGTATTGGAGACAAGTAGCAAAATAGCAACTGCAAATCTCACTTTGCATATTATATCTGTGCCGAGGATTAATATAATATAATATAGTGCTTAGTTTTTCCCTTCTACCCGCTACAGATTGCAAGCCTTCTGGCTCCTCCTGTTTCGGATATTATGAATGCTGCAGTCAATATTGCACCGGACTATTTTATACTCCGGGGATTTGGGCTTAAAGCAGCCCTGAAAATTAATTCCCCCATGTGTTGTGCAGCTGTATAGAATGAAAAGCACTCAAGTGCAAACCCTCGGCGCATTATGAGAAGACTATCCTCCTGTTTTTTGCCAACTTTTGGAGTGGATTCAGCTGTGCAGGCATGGTGTTTAGTAGCTAAAAGGTGTGTGAGGCTCAGTAGCTAGCTATATCTTCTTTTGATGCGTTTGTTCGGCCACAGCTGGAGACGCTATTCTTCTGAACAGTTCACATTGTATGCCGTTTCATAATGCTTTTAAGAATGTAGTTATACAGAATGCCAAAGCTTACTTTTGATGCCAATGCTATTCACTACTATTTTAATTGATAGACGAGAAAGTTATAATTGTTCTGGCTTTGTCTGAAGACCTAGTACGAATGACAATAATTCAGTAAAGGTTTAGGCATTTGGCAGCTTCTCTGCAGGAATGCATTCATCCCTGTAGACATGATACTTCTCCAAAGTGGTTCCGCTCATTGATGCTCAGCAACAGCTAATAAATTGTCAGACACACTTACATCTGAAACCCAGGAAGATAGCGAACTTTTTTGCTTTGATGTGTATCACAAACTATATAGCAGGCTTTGAACTACTACATACAGTGTAGCTATTTCTGTATGTTATGTGTATATACCATGCATATAAGTAAAGTGTACATAATGCTAAAGTGAGGTAATTGTAAGTGAGACAGTCACAAACACACTGATGAACTTGTGCTTTATTGTGTTCAGACCAGAGCCGATATAATTTGGCAACTTTACTTGCTGTGACTTTGCTCTTTTTCAACCTCAAATAGCTGCAGTAATTCTTAATCATGTCCTTCTATCAGTAATAATTAGTGTAAACTCGCAAAGAAGAATCATAATGCCTGAAACCTGTTGAAGGAACCTGTGTAATTATAGGCTAATGTTGAAGGAACCAGGGAAGTATGTCGGGAAAGCCATAGTAGCTACGTATGTTGGCAACATAATTATGTGTTCATCCACAGCCTATAAAACCACAGACAAGTTCTAAATCCGAAAGCTGCAACTTCTGTCAACCCAACAACTGAGGCAACTCACTGAGACTACAAGAAAGAGAGAGAGAGAGAAGATGCGTCTGACCCCTCGTGCTCAGCAACAGAACTACTATCGAGAGCCTTTCACTGCTGGAATGCAGAGTAAGTGACACAGTTGTTTATAATTCAATTTGAGGAGGGAAGAACTAGACATGCACCAGTAACATGGCTTATATGTATCAGCCATCACACGCATTGCCTTAACACATTCTTAATGGTTGGGTTAATAATAATGTATTGGAGACAAGTAGCAAAATAGCAACTGCAAATCTCACTTTGCATATTATATCTGTGCCGAGGATTAATATAATATAATATAGTGCTTAGTTTTTCCCTTCTACCCGCTACAGATTGCAAGCCTTCTGGCTCCTCCTGTTTCGGATATTATGAATGCTGCAGTCAATATTGCACCGGACTATTTTATACTCCGGGGATTTGGGCTTAAAGCAGCCCTGAAAATTAATTCCCCCATGTGTTGTGCAGCTGTATAGAATGAAAAGCACTCAAGTGCAAACCCTCGGCGCATTATGAGAAGACTATCCTCCTGTTTTTTGCCAACTTTTGGAGTGGATTCAGCTGTGCAGGCATGGTGTTTAGTAGCTAAAAGGTGTGTGAGGCTCAGTAGCTAGCTATATCTTCTTTTGATGCGTTTGTTCGGCCACAGCTGGAGACGCTATTCTTCTGAACAGTTCACATTGTATGCCGTTTCATAATGCTTTTAAGAATGTAGTTATACAGAATGCCAAAGCTTACTTTTGATGCCAATGCTATTCACTACTATTTTAATTGATAGACGAGAAAGTTATAATTGTTCTGGCTTTGTCTGAAGACCTAGTACGAATGACAATAATTCAGTAAAGGTTTAGGCATTTGGCAGCTTCTCTGCAGGAATGCATTCATCCCTGTAGACATGATACTTCTCCAAAGTGGTTCCGCTCATTGATGCTCAGCAACAGCTAATAAATTGTCAGACACACTTACATCTGAAACCCAGGAAGATAGCGAACTTTTTTGCTTTGATGTGTATCACAAACTATATAGCAGGCTTTGAACTACTACATACAGTGTAGCTATTTCTGTATGTTATGTGTATATACCATGCATATAAGTAAAGTGTACATAATGCTAAAGTGAGGTAATTGTAAGTGAGACAGTCACAAACACACTGATGAACTTGTGCTTTATTGTGTTCAGACCAGAGCCGATATAATTTGGCAACTTTACTTGCTGTGACTTTGCTCTTTTTCAACCTCAAATAGCTGCAGTAATTCTTAATCATGTCCTTCTATCAGTAATAATTAGTGTAAACTCGCAAAGAAGAATCATAATGCCTGAAACCTGTTGAAGGAACCTGTGTAATTATAGGCTAATGTTGAAGGAACCAGGGAAGTATGTCGGGAAAGCCATAGTAGCTACGTATGTTGGCAACATAATTATGTGTTCATCCACAGCCTATAAAAACCACAGACAAGTTCTAAATCCGAAAGCTGCAACTTCTGTCAACCCAACAACTGAGGTAACTCACTGAGACTACAAGAAAGAGAGAGAGAGAAAATGCGTCTGACTCTTCTTGCCTTGGCTCTGGCTACCCTGCTGGTGGCTTCCTCTGCCTATCCTACTAAGAGGGAGAGGGCCTACTATCCTCAGCCTGACATGGCTGATGGTCAGGCTGAAAGGGCCTACTATCCTTACCCAGAACCAGCTCGTGTGCAGCGTAAGTGACAGGATCAGAACCTAATGTAATTTTGGTCAGATAACACTTTCCTCACCATTTTCAGATCCATCGATAGTTTAAGGATATCGGTTAATGATATTCATCTGCCTCTCTCTTCAGTGTGTTTGATTGCTCTATACAATTTTTCATGAAACCCAGAGGTTTTATTGAAGTAGCTAGCTACATTAGTTACCTACTGTCTCATGTGATAGCTAAACAAGTGGAAAAATCATTTCTTCAAAATGAAGGGGGATGTAGGGATGGTGTAAATTATGAAAAAGGATGCCAACAAGAAGATGCTTCAGCCGACAACAAAATCGTACATCGATCCTACATTTTCTTCTTTTGCTCTGTATAAAAGTGGGTTACTTGTCATAGAGTATGTAAGATACATATTCGCAACATGATTATCACAGTAGAGGTTGTGATTGTAGAAAGATGTGGGATGGATGTACGATTTTTGTTGTCGGCTGAAGCATCTTCTTGTTGCATCCTTTTTCATAATTTACACCATCCCTACATCCCCCTTCATTTTGAAGAAATGATTTTTCCACTTGTTCCAGTTATTTTTTGCGCATACTCAGCCCCACCCTTTTCGGGCTGCAGAGCGAGGGGGAGGGGCTGCTTCGGCGCACACTCTGTACGCGACGCACGCACGGCGCGCGCTCCCTACCTTAGTAGTCCGGCGGCCCGGGTGACGTTTGCAATTTTTACGCACTTGCGCGCGCCTCTCGCGCGTAGCGCGGGCGATGCGCAAGTGACGACACATCAACATAATAATGATTGTTGTGCAAGGAGTTCACTCTTTTGAAGTGGTCAACCCAGCTGAAGTCAAAGGTGGAGGCCAAAGAGCGTAGTGGATGTGTAGTAGAAGCTTGTAGGGTCCAGGTCTGACAAGTGCACAGCACCTTAGAACATAAAAATGGTATGCACCAATAAAAGAGTGAGGAATGCAGCCAAAATTATAGTATAGAAGGCTAGGATAGGGTTTTACAATAGCTATGTCAGCAGTGGTGATAAGGGCACAGGATGTGCAAAGTCAGCACGGTGATAAGGGCTGGGGAAAACACTTCAGAGCCCCACCTTCTAAGGCCCCTGATAAGCTGAGTACAGTGATCTCCTTCCTCTGACAGGTCAGCTATGGTTGAGACACCCTTAGACAGAAGATCACAGCCTTTAAAGACCTGCAGAGGTAGAAAGCTTCCCAGGGGAAAACCAGATAATATAATTATATGTAGTTGTAAGAAAAGAGGAGCCTATAAATAGTAACCACCTTGTTCAGAATACTATGTGAAGGTGCATGTAGGAAGGGTGCTGATATGCTGCATACAATAGTTATGTGCACTGATGTTTAGGTGAGTAGTGTGTAGCTTCGATGTAGTATATAGTACCCCCGACAGGCATAGCTACTGACTGTAGAGTGCACTCCTCAAGGGAGGAGGATAATATTCTGTCAGAGCTAAGACCAGTCTCCTGGGGGATTACTCACTACTGTTGGCATACAACACAATTGTCAGTGTACAGACATTCACCTCTAACAGTGTGCTACCTCAACTTTGTGATGCAGTTACAGTCCCCTAAAACTTTGTGGTAAAGACAGTGCAGTTTCCCTACACTTGAAACCAGTCAGCTCCATGAAGTCTGAGACTTTAGGAGGGTGGTTAGAACATGAAATGGGGAAGCCACCTCAATAAATTGCAGGGACCCACCCTCTTCTTCCCCAACATGTTCAGAAGTCATGTACAGGACATGTAAATCGCACTTTCTACAGTGGTTATAGCATGAAATGGGGAAGCCACCTCAATAAATTGCAGGGACCCACCCTCTCCTTCCCCAACATGCTCAGAGAGCCCATGTATAGTCTATATGAGCACATGTGGCTTCTTTAATTCTTTCTTATAGAACCAACAACATTGAAGTGGTTTCCTGTGTGCAATAGATACATAGACCTCTGGTGAATGTCATCCATCAGTTGTCTGTCGACATCATGAGGAGAGTACCGCTGCCACTGCCCATGCTGCTGGCTGTATGAGAAGACAGGGGTCTGGAGCAGGTGTGCCAATGACAGCATCTCAATGTCAGTTCCCCAGGTGCCATCTTGGTCCATACCTGTGGAAGCTATATAACTTTGAATACTGTCATAGCCTACGAGATGGTGGCCTAGGAAATATTGGCCATTATTTGTCATGTGGTCAAGGATAGCATGTCGTACACCAATATGCTGTTCTGCAGACCCTGTCAGAATGTAAGAAAATGCTCGAAAGAGGCAGTTACCATCTCCCTGTACGCGTCTCACACTACGCATGTCTGGACGTGTGAGGGGGACAGCGGGTCCTCCTGGTCTTACTGGTGTTTGTGTACAATATTGGAGGCCCA